CTATTTTTAACATTTTTTTTTGAATTTCTACTAAGAAATGGCGGCTGCTTCAGACAACTCTGCGAGTTCAACAATGAATTTTGGCATCAACTACAACGATCCTTACTACTTAGCCAATGGAGATCATCCAGAAATGCAGTTAGGTAAGCATATACTCACTGGTCCAAACTTCATTAACTGGTCTATAGCCGTTAAAATGGTTTTGATTGCTCGAAATAAGCTAGAATTTGTTGATGGAACTTTACTTGCACCTGAGGTTACTTTTGTTGATTACTAGAAGTGGCTTAGAAAGATTATATGGTAATGTCCTGGATATTGAATTCAATGGAGAAGACTCTAGATAAGAGTTTTATGTTCGTTAACTCTTCAGCTGAATTATGGATTTAGTTGAGAGAATTTTTTGGACACACTAATGTACTTCACATTTATGAGTTGCATAGGAGTTTAGGTACTGCAGCAAAATGATGCTTCAATTGTTGAATATTTTGGCAATTTGAAGAAGGTTTGGGATCAATTACAAGTGTTAGAAGGAGTTCTAGATTGTTATTGTGCTGCATTAAATACTTGTAGTTGTGGTGTTATGAAGAAAATCTGGAGATAGAACAACGAAGGAAGTTGATGCAATTTCTTTCTGGTTTAAACAAGACTTATGATCAAGTGAAAAAAAATTTGTTGAGAGTTGATCCTTTGCCAAGCATTAACAAGGCTTATTATACTCTGCAACAAATTGAAAAGCAACACAAAATGAACTATTCTGTTTTTGAGATGAATGCTTTGCAAGTAATGAGAACTTCTTCTAGGCCTGTTATGAATCCAGTTGTGCATTCATTATAGAAGAAAGAGTCTAAGGATTACAAGAAACCTAGAGTTGATGTTGTGTGTGAATATTGTAAGAGGAAAGGACATATTGTGACTCATTACGTTAAGCTCATTGGCAATCCTGAATGGTGGACTAATCCTAAAGGAAAGTCTCCTAGAACTCCTGGAAAATTTGCTGCAAACGCTGTTGAAGATTCAGCTAGTATTCTAGGTTCTGCTCCTGCATCTTTTGAGAAAGGTGAATTAAGGAACTCTAATCATGACAAAGCTCCTATGACTATGGATCCTACTGTGATTTCTGCAGTCTACAATCAGGTGATGAAGATGATGAAACAAAAAGGATCTGATTCATATGCAGCTGATACTCCTCTGGCTGCTTCTTCTATCAACTTTGCAGGTAACTCTTCAAATGATTTTAATTCTAGTAACATGAGTTGGATTATAAATTCAGGTGCTATTGATCATATGGCATATAATCATGATTTGTTTACAAATATAGTTGATCTTAAACCACCTATTAAAGTTGGTTTACCAGATGGTACAATTTTGACTGTTAAACACACTGGCACATTTCATCTCACACTAGAAATTACTCTTAAAAATGTCCTATTCATTCTTAAATTCAAGCATAATTTGCTTTCTGTTCCTATGTTGCTTGAACATAATAGTCTGTTTGCTCATTTTGAAAGAGATAAGTGCGTGTATGTTTCAAGACCTTACAACTGATGTTGTTAGAGCTGTTGACACAAGGCATTTTGGTCTATACATATTTTTGGGTGATTTTCAGAAGTGTTAGTCGATTTCTATTGCAAATAAGCAAGTTCTAGATGTTCCAAATAAGGCTTTTGTTTCTAGTTCAAATTTTGCAAATACGCATGTGTTTCATGCTAGACTAGGACATGCCTCTTATAGAAAATTGAAACATTTGTCAAATTTGTATTCCATTGATAGTAGATGTAGCTTGGATTGTGAAGCTTGTATTCTGGATAAACATCACAAATTACGTTATCTTGTATCTCAATCTCATGCTGCTAGTTTAGGGCAAATACATAAACTCCTTCTTTGAATGGAGCTTCTTATTTGCTAACAATTGTGAATGACTGAATACTTAGGTGCATCTTATTCATGATAAAACTCAAGTGTTTCAAGTTATTTCTTATTTTTTGGCTTACATTGAAAATCAGTTTAAGAAATCAGCCAAAATCGTAAGAAGTGATAATGGTACAGAGATTGTTCAAGAATCATGTTCAGTTTTGTGTAATCAAAAGGGCATAATTCATCAGAAAAGTGTTCCAAGGAAATCCTCAACAATATGGCAGGGTAGAAAGAAAACATAAGCATCTAGGTGAAACAGCTAGAGCCATAAGCTTTCATGCTAATTTACCTATCAAATTTTGGGGTGAATGTATTCTAGCAGCTGCTCATATTATCAATTTACTTCCTACTTCTGTTCTTGACTGGAAATCTCCTTATGAATTCTTATTTGGTAAAAGACCAAATTATAAGAATCTTAGAGTAATAGGTTGCTTATGCTATCCTGCACAAAAGTCTTCTAATAAGTTTGCACATAGAGCTGCTAAATATATCTTGTCAGGATATCCATATGCTCAGAAGGGTTATAAGTTGTATGACTTAGACCTTAAGAAAGTTGTTCTCAACAGAGATGTTATCATTCAGGGAAGATATTTTTCCTTTTCAATCTTCTTATTCTAGACAGGAGTCCACTATTTGTCATCCAATACGTAATGAATCCAGCATTGGTACCAAGTGATAATCCTAACAGTGTTCAGCATACAACCACAACCTCACCTTCTCATAATTCTACAAATTCAATGTTTGATTCGATCTGATTCTCCTATTTCACCTCACTTTTCTGATTCTCATAACAATTTGAATTCTCACCTAGTTCAGTTTCTCAACCTAATTCAATTACTTCATTCTAAATCTGATCAAGTTGTTACTAATTCACCTCAAACTGAGAATCCTCCTCAACTAAATCTTAGAATTTCAGATAGGGTGAGAACTTTTCCTAATAAATTTAATAATTTCATTGTTCCTGCAAACTTGAAGTTTGCTAATTCTGCAGCCTAGGTTGACAGTTCATATGAAAATATGTTGCAAACTAAGTCTGGACCATCTTCTTATCATGAGGCTAGTAAACATGAGGAATAGGTTTTAGCTATGAACAAGGAATTGGAAGCTCTAGAACAAAATGATACATAAGAGATTATAGATCTTTCTGAAGGGAAAACTGCTCTAGGTACAAAATGGGTTTATAAGACTAAAATCAATTCTTTGGGCTATGTTGAGGAAAAGGGCAAAGTTTGCAAACTAAAATGGTCTTTGTATGGCCTGAAACAAGCTTCACGATGTTGGAATATTGAGCTTAGCAATTTTCTAATCAAGCAAGGTTATGTTCAATCAAAACATGATTATTCCATGTTTATTAGGAAAGTTGCACACTTATTTACAGTTGTCGTGGCATATGTAGATGATTTACTTGTTATTGGTAATGATCCTGGTGAGATTGCTTCTCTGAAGAATAGACTGTGCACTGCTTTCACAATTAAGGATCTTGGTCAGCTTAAGTATTTTTTGAGAATTGAAGTGTCAAGAAGCAAAGAGGATATTAAGTTGAATCAGAGAAAATATATTATGGAACTAATTTCAGAAGCTGGTTTAGAATCATGTTCTCATGTAGCATATCCTTTTCCAAGGAATGTGAAATTAAGTGCACATGAATAAATGATGCTGCTGTTCTTAGTGGTCCTGAAAAGTATAGAAGGATAGTTGGCAAGCTCTTGTATTTGAATCCGACTAGACCCGATATTTCTCTTGTGGTTCAACAGTTAAGCCAATTTCTTTCTGAACCTAAAACAAGTCATTATGATGTGGCTCGATCTTCATATACTAAAATATCTCAAGGGTACTTTGGATGTGGGTTATTCAATTCAGCAGCAAGTGATTTATCTCTTACAACTTACAGTGATGCCGATTCGGGTAATTGCATTGATACAAGTAGATCTTTAACTGGATACATTATATTTTTGGGTTCTTCTCTTATTTCTTGGATTTATTTCTTAGAAAACCAAGAAACAAGCTATAGTTTCAAAGAGTTCTACTAAAGCTGAATACAGGGCTATGAGCCAGACAGAAAGTGAATTAGTTTGGCTTGAAAGGTTACTTTTTGAGCTTGATGTTCATATTGATACACCTATTCCTCTGATGTGTGAAAATGTATCAGCTATTTTGATTGCTGAGAACCTCTGTTTTCATGAGAAATCTAAGCACCTCAGGACAAAGCACCAGAAGATTGATGTCCATTACATCAGGGAGAGAGTTAAAAAAGGCCTAATTAAACTTTTCATGTCAAATCAGCACTACATATTGGTGATATCATGACTAAGTCCTTGGGAACTAATCAACATTGAATTTTATCTCAGAAACTTGGTTTAGTCTTTACACCATCATCACTTCAAGATTGCCAAGTTTCCCCTAGCCAATCTTGAGGGGGGGCGTATTGGAAATTAGTTATTATTTATAAATTTTGGATCAATGAAATGACATATTTTGTTATGCTTTGGATCAATGACATGTCATAGTTTGTTATGCCTTTGTTGATGTGTAAATTTTCTGTTATTAAGTTGTTAGAGAGTTTGTTAGGATAGTCAGTTAGCATGCTTAATTATAATTATCGTAGTTTATATACTTTTCTTCTCTTTGTAATCATTTGAGTTTTTACCTCAATAATATACAAATTTCTGATTTCCCAAAATTCTCCCTAAATTCTTCTAAATTGTTCTCAAAAATTCTCTAAAACTTTTCAATGTAATACCTTGCATTCAAATGAAATTATAAGAGGATTTATATAAGTTTAATGAACATTAACTTTTAAAATTAAATGTTATAAAAATAATGACAAATGTTTTTGTGATTACATTTGAATGATTAAAGTTTATTCAAGCTCGAGCATAAAATCAAAAGCAGAACTCAAACAAATCAAATCCTTAACAAGTCATAATGAAAATGTTTTTTTCAAACACTCAAAGTCTCCAATTCAATGTAGTTCAAACATTAATTAATAATTTTAATAAACTTATCTCGAACCAACAGTTGCTCAATTCAGATCACTAGATCAGTTTGTTTGCTGCTCTACATGTGTGCCTGTTTGGTACTCCGTATAGATAAATGAATAAAAAGTGTCGCCCTTGCATGTTTGTTGCCTCAAGGCAAAAGTGTGCTGCACATTTCGACTTTACAGATGGACCTTGATTTAGCATCACTTAAATGGGCACACATTAAAAATAAGTATCATCATCATGAAATTCTGGTTTTATCTACAGGGGCAAAAAAATTTGCATCATGGTATCATCAAGTATTACGGAGTATTAAATCAGTACAGACTACAGAGCTCATAAAAGTCTGCCAAATGGAGGATTTGGGGTTGGGGCGTACGTACATATGGTTACATTGCCCTAACAATCATTTTTCCTCTTATTGCTTAGTAATGGACTAATGGCTCTTCAGATCAGTACTTCTAACTATTTTAAAAAAAAAATGTACAAGTGATACTATAACAGTCACGTGATCAAGCTTGCCACCACAGTATCCAGGATGACCAGCCGCCTTAGCTGCATCTGCAAAGGGACTTCTTGCAGATTTTGACCTCCCCACTTCTGCTGCTGTGGTTGCTAAGAGTTCTGCTAGGTCCTGCTAACGGAGAAGGGAAGAAATATAAGACTCAAATTTAGTCATCAACGGATGGGCAAAGCCATCTTTGGGGACAGTAAAAGAGCCAGAAAGCAAGGATAACTTCAGTGCTGATGATGTGAGAAAGAAAACAAATTGATTCAAAGCAAGCTTTTTACAACAATGTGACTGCTTTCTACTATCAATAAACCACAAAAGCAGCTTTGTATGTAATTTATTTTCAGAGTTGAAGTTTTGAATATAGAGGTTCCCAAGGGGTGGATGCAATTTATCAGCTACATGAATGCGATTAAGAAACCCAAGGCAAATGCAGCTCCCACACATTTTCTAGCAAAATTTTATTGTTCACAAAAAGCTAGGTTTAAATATGTTGTTTTCTTAGCAACCAATAGGTTAATTAAAAAAAAAAAAAAAAAAAATCCCTATGAGCACTCCAACAAGACATGAAGGACAACAACATACTGCCACTTGATAAGTTTTACACCCAGTATTTTCTGCAAACTACCTGAAAATTCTAGTAGCAACTTCCTACTGTTTATGGGGAGAAGGTTTGGGAAGAGGGGTGGGTGGTGGTGATTTTTTTTTTTGTTGTGAGGGGGGGGGGGTGTGGGGGAGGAGTTAGTGAGTTACCAACACTAAATAAATGTATTGCATATTTGCATGTTAAAGCTTTCTTTCAACAAATAAACTTTTCATTAATCTACAAAGCATCTAGAGATACGGTTACAAATATCTACACTCCCCAGTCACCACCATCCTGCTAACAGAGATCTATATTGGGTGGTTTGTTGTTAAGGAACAGCTACCCGGACATACCACCAATTGCAAATTACCTTTTGAACGGTGTTGAGAATTACATGTCCAAAGAAAATTGTGAGGGGTGTGTCGGTACTCGGTAAGGCCGTATGGACTATGGGCTATATAAAAAGAAGGAAATGTATTGACAAGAGAGAGGAAAAAGTATGGTTACACAAAATTTCATTTAAGGGGTGATTTTTTTTTTTTTTTTTAAAAAAATTTTCGTTTTTTTGTTCAATGAGGGAAACCAAATATCCTCAACCTACCAAAACATCCTTTCGGAAATAAAAGCACATTCTACTTTTATAGTACAAACCAAGCCGCGAGGGAGGAACGATACTATCCATAATTCCCCCACACAAAGTGCTAATTCGTTTACCTCCTTAATGCAATGACGAAAAACTAACAATCCTAAGGTGTAACTATATGAGAAGACCAAATATATTTTTTAGCACAAGATGAGCAAAACTAAAATGTAGCTGAAATAAACAAATAATAGGTGGGTGACAAATTTTACACAACGTAATTGATGCTTAAGGACAAATTCTTTCCCTTTGTCATTTAGATAGAGACCACGTGGTTCAACCACTCAACCTCAGAGAAAACTGAGATGCAGGCTCTTGAGCAGCTTGATACTTAATGTAAGTGTGTTCAGGCAAGGGACGATTTCACAGTTTAATCACTAGAACTAGTTGTCGTGACCAGGTTTTAGTGTTTCAGAAAAAAGATGTTTTGCTGTCTCTTTACACAATGACTGTGAGGGTATAATTTAACTCTAACCCAAGGAACCCACTATCTTTACTTTTGTTTTTGGTCTAAATTCAAATGGAAGATCTGATGATTTATCAGTTGAAAAAAAAAAATGCTACTTGAGGTACACACCTGTAAAGACATCCCAGCTTCCAGAACTTTGGAAACCATAGAAGCAATTTCCTTATCATATAGATTATCAAAAAGGCCATCAGTTGCTGTTACGATCACATCGCCATCTTCTAAATTAATATGGTATTCCTGAAACAGAGCATAATCCCAATTTTACCATCGTAAATCTCTAGCGGGATATTCAATATGACAACATAGCTGTTTCTTTTTGTCATTAAATTATTAGGAACTATAGTGCATGCCTGCAAACCCGGAGATCTAGGTAATAGGCTTATAGCTTTGTACTAGAGAATACCTCAGCATCTTCCACTGAATCATCACCCAAACCAATTGCATAAGGAAAGCTAAATTCGTGAATCATTGGAGAAGATTTTTGGACGACAGTCCCATTCCGAATTATAACAAATCCCGAGTCCCCAATATTTGCCACATGGAGGACCTACACGAACAATAAATCATCAAAAAACTGACCTCACAGAATTAAGAACAAAAATTATGTTAGTTTCTACATTAATAAGCTAAACATTCATATTAAGCATTCACATATTAGAATTCTGTCAATCCAGATAACCTAATTGTGCTGCGCAAGATACCAGTATAAGGGAAGATACCTGAATAAAAGAAGTTACTTTGGTTTATTGTTGATTAACAAAATAGAATCTTCTTGAATACTTTGAGCCTCATCAGAAGATATGACAACACGCAACAAGATAGAACATATTCCCAACATTTGGATTTTACAATTCAATATACGAGGAGAGAGGACTTCTATAATGCCAAAGACAACTAGCTTAAACCAATCCTTTTTAACTAGAGATTCATGGTATCTTGTCTATCTTCTACATTGAGCCTGAGGATCCCCTGATGAGTAAATAAGCAAATTTAAACAAAGAAATATCCATAAAATCAATTTAGAGATCACATTAACACTTCAAGAAAATAGAATTGCTAATTAAAAGAAAAGGGAAGAAACGGAAAAAAGTAAAATGACAGAATGTAGTCATCTATGAATTATTCTAATTTAGTAAATATAACTTGACATTTTTGGGTTTTTCTCTAAGAGAATATATGATTTGTACATGTGATGAAATAACAAATCATTATGAGATAAACAGGACATGCCTCTTACTACTCATTACTTTAGAGTGAAAGACAACAAAAAAAAAAAAAAAAAAAAAATCCGTAAAGTTACCTCTTTGTCGAGGTGAGCAATCAAAACCCTAGCTGCACCAGTAGATTGTGTTATTGCAGCACTTTGCTGTAGAAGCTGTTTAACATTGGTTAATCTAGCACTCGTGCTCTTTAGTAGCTTTTCACAGTTCTGCATGAATTCGTGAGCATACAATCCCATGTCCACTCCTGTAAATCGAAGACATTAATTAATTAGAAAATAATTTATCTGGAAGACTGGAAATAAGAATTCTGCATCCTAGACAAGAAACTAAAAATATCTTTAGATAAAGGGAAAATCCATCAGAAACTATACAAGAAAACTCTCTCATAATAGAAGAACAAGGAATCCCAATATAAAAATGTAATATATGCAGATTGATGGTAAAAAACATGCAATGTACGTGCAATGACATATTATGTTCTCTCTTTCCAGAATTAATAATTCCAGCACCGGCAACAAGCACAGAATCAAAGCAAATTTAGCATCTTTTACACATTACTTCCTCCAGTACGAGTCCAATTAGGTATTCAATTTATTTGAATGAAAGAACACGCTGCTACTAACAGAAGATACGCAAGCAACTAGAGTTTCTTCATAAACGATCAATCAATGCAATCATACGGAAAGTATGCAATAAATCTTTCAAAGTAGTACCTCGTCATGCTCTCAAGCAACTAATGGGTGCAAGAATGTAACTAGCTTTAATAAATGTAAGCTACAATAGTTCCTTTCAATATCATCACAGATAACAACACCATAAAGATGTAAATTTTTAGGAAAGGGAAAACAAGTTGATAAATAGGCCAGTCTTTATTTTTTAGCATCCAGTTTACTTATTGACACCCCCCAACCCCAACCCCTGAAATCTAAAGCAACAGGGAGTAGTCACAAGGTCGAGTTAGTTAAATTTTAACTATCCAGAAATCCAGGACCACAATAGAGCAAGTTGACTGTTGATGATTACAATGGTCCATTATTCATCAATCAAATTTCTCTTCACAATAGAATATTGATGTGCACTGTCAGCAGGCTAAACTAAATGTCTCAAGGGCCTCTTCTTGTATTTGTAGCAAAGGAATTAATGGGTAATTTTGCTAAATACAAAGTTTCATAAGAGGCAATTTAGTAATGAAACGATATTTGAAAAAACAATTCACGATAACACAATGGAGAAACCAGTTAGTAATATGAGATTTCACCTCCAAGGGACCATTGACCAACGCTGTCTGCCACACCAAACCAATTCTTGAGAACAAAATGGGCATCCTTTCCACCTGTCAAAGCCTGGAAATTATTATTCTTTGTATTACTGAACTGAACGTAGACTAAAGGTTTAAAAATCAGTTTCTTAATTCTCTATCACTCAAATGCATTAATAAGGTTTCCCAATAAAGTGAATTAGTAACTTTCTTAAAGTACAAATCTTCATTGAAAACAAGACAACTTCACAATATTCTTGTAGAAACATCAGCATGGCCTTGTATCTACAAAAGCCGCAAAATTTCTGATTGACTAAGCGTAATGCTTTCAGTCAATATAATACTGGGAATTTGACTCAATCAGAGGAATTCATCTGACCTGACAGAGACACTATGTGCTCTCTCTCAAATCTTCAACCTTTAAAAGAAGATAAGCTCATGTGGAAAGCATTAAATAGATTATCCATACCTCAGGAAAATGTTCCAATGATGCAACAGCTGATGAAATAGAAAAGGCAGGAGATGAGGGTTCCGCTTTGTTCAGACTGAAATGAAATAGGCATACAAGAAATAAGCAGCTAGAATAAGATGACAGCTAAAACATAGCCAAGGTGGTGGACTACAAACACACTAGATGTAACAATAACCCAAGAATGAGTGAATGAGGAATTATGCAGAGAATATGCAATTATGCAAGCATATAAGATGGCAAGTATTTAATAAACCACAAGATACTCAGATAATAGTTACCTAAAAGTTAGGGGAAAAAAAACCTAATTTGCAAGGTTGCTTTAATTCAGGCAAAAAAAGTATGAAGCTTCGGTAAAAAGGATTTAAGTCTACCTGTCAAGATCAATTTCTGGTGAAGCTATCTCAGATGTAATCGGACCCGCTGCTACCAGACTATCAGTAATATCATCACCAGATTGTGTCACAGTATTAATTATGGCATCATGAACCTGAAGAAAAACCCTTTTTTGTTATCCTCTCTCATAGTTATTTGTTTCTGAATGAAAAAAACTTTATATTTATAACAGAAGTGCACAATAGTAATTATTAATACAGAGGAGATGTTCTTGAGAGCTTTAGGCAATACATAAGCTATATAGATGAAGCCCTTTCGAAGTCCAAAGATATAATAGCGACATAGAAATTGTCTTTGTTTATGGCCAGTTGTTAAACAGATTAACTCTACAACTCTAACTTTGATTCCAAAGTGTTTTCAGCCTAATTATGTTAGTCTCGTGCTGGTTCTTAGCAGGAAACCCTGAAAGTACCCAGACATCACAATTTCAAGTCTTACAAGTCATAGGTAAGACTGCAACTGTGCAGTTTCCACACATAACGTGCCCCAACTTGAGCTAGTTCTCCAAACTATTCTCTCAAGTCTCAAAGAGAGAAAGTATCAATTTACTAGCAACAATTCCTTTGGAAAAAGAACAAAAAGAAAAAATAGCTCTTTCTACCAACACGCTTAAGTAACTCCCTTTCATTTTGCTTTGTTACATATATATACTATATAGTTCACTATGCCTCCAAATCTATGCTCACCTCAGGAGATTTGCTGGTTGTTATCCGACAGTAGATAATATGTGACATTCCTTTAGCAAGACAATGCATAGCTCATGCACTTCTTATTGCAAAAGGCACGAGTCTTGGATTTCCAAATACAGTGTCTCCTTCTAGGAATTCTTTAACTGGCTACATCATTGCCCCAAAATAACTTTATATAGTATTCTCTAAGATAATTAAATATGTACAACAAACTTACCATCTGCATAAAATATATGCATTCTTGAACTTAAATAAACCTACACTGATTGACAGATAGTAAGTTCATTTTAGACAGACCACATAACTAAAATATTTTCGAGGATAAGAAATATTAATTGCTAAATAGTGAAAGTATCATATACTAGTATTATTAGAGATCACCTTCCAACAGGGGAAGTCCTAAAAGGTCAATTATATTAGTTTTCCTAAACAGTGTTATTTAATTTACATGTGGCTTATCTAAGAAGCAAGAGATGTCAACAAGAAATATTTCCAAGAACAATAGAAATGACAAGAAAACCACAACATTCCCAAACGCTGAATGACGCACTTTGATGCATCCACACTTTCACATGAATCAAATTAACAATCCTGTCTGTTATGTGGAAGAGAGGACAACTTATTCAGAGAGCAGAAATTTTATGTCTATCCCTTAATCAAATTGAAACTTTCCATCACTGGTTCTCCTAGTTCTATGTGAAGATAAACGAAGCAACCAACCCAAACATTACCACATATGCATTAATGCAAACATAGAAATCTCACAAGCAAACAAAAACAGTTAAATGTAAGAAAGGGAAATAATGGAGAATGAACTGCCTTTTCTTTTCAAAAGCGGAATAACAAAAATAACAGCCTAACCTTGTTGGAGCCTAAAAATGATCCCAAGCCAACATTATCTTGCAAATCAGAACTCGTTTCTTCGTTGAGAATTGGTTCTGCTTCTAACTTTTTAGACATCAATTCTACTGAATCGTCATCCTCATCCATGGGTATTGGGTGATTAACAGTAAAGACACACACCTTCTCAGTCTCATCCTCCAAAGACGCTGATGTATCCTCTGCAATCTCATCCTTCACAATTGCCTTTTTCACAATCTCATCCTCCACGATCTCGTCCTCCACAATCTCATTCTTCACAATATCGCTCTTCGTAATCTCATTCTCCAAAGCCACTTCCTCTTCCTCCTCACTCTCATCCTTCACAATATCATCCTTCACCATATCATCCTTCACAATGTCGCCCTTCACAGTCTCATCCACCAAAGACACTACCTTATCCTCCTCGATCTCACCCTCTACAATCTCATCCTCACCATTCACAGTTTCATCTACCAAAGACACTACCTCGTCCTCAATGTCGCCCTTCATAGTCTCATCCACCAAAGACACCACCTTATTCTCCTCAATCTCATCCTCCGCAATTTTGTCCTTCACAATGTCACCCTTAACAGTTTCAAAAAAAATGTCACCCTTCACAGCCTCTTCCACCAAAGAATCTACTTTACCTTCCCCAATCTCATTTTCTACAATCTTGTCCTTTACAGTGTTGCCCTTCAGAGTCTCATGCACCAAAGATAATACCTTATCCTCCTCAATCTCATCCTCTACAATTTTTTCCTTTACAATATCGCCCTCAACAGTCTCTTCCATTGAAGACACTACCTTATCCTCCTCAACATCATCCTCCACAGTTTCGTCCTTTACAATGTCGTCCTTAACAGTCTCTTCCACTAAAGACACTGCCTTACCCTCCCCAATCTCATCCTCCACAATCTTGTCCTTCACTATGTTGTCCTTCAGAGTCTTGGACAATACCTTAATTACCTCAATCTCATCCTCCACAATCTTGTCCTTCACTATGTTGTCCTTCAGAGTCTTGGACAATACCTTAATTACCTCAATCTCATCCTCCACAATCTCATCCCTCACAATGTCTCCCTTAATAGTCTCTTCCACCAAAGAGACCACCTTACCCTCCTCAATCTCATCCTCTACAAACCCGTCCTTCACAATGTCACCCTTCAAAGTCTCTCCCATCGAAGACACTACCTTATTCTCGTCATTCGCATCCTCCACAATTTCATTCTTCACAATGCCCCCCTTCAAATTCTCATCTTCCTCCAAAGACTCCTTATCCTCCACAATGCCAGCCTTCACAATCTCATCCTCTACAATGTCGTCCTTCACAATCTGATCCTCCACAATACCGCCTTTCACTGTCTCACCCTCCTCCAAAGACACTATATCACCCTCTACAATGTCGCCCGTGACAGTCCCATCCTTCACAGACTCATCCTCCAAAGACACTACCTCATTCTTCACAACCTCATTCTCCAAAGTTTCCACTACACCTGAAACTTCGACATCCAAACTCGTCCCACCAACATTAGAGGGTTCATCACCACCATTTTCAACCTCATCATCATCACTCTTTTTATAAGCTTCACTCAATTCTTTATTTTTTCCAATCACCACACCAACACTCGAATCACACATCGTAACGACGCCATTTCCTCCCTGATTCTCATACTTCCCCGCATCAAAATCACTCAAATTCTCAACTCCTGCCACTGAAATTAAACCACAATTCTGTTCATCTTCAACGGAATTTCCACTAAATTGAGAATCAGACTGTAAATCAACAACATCATCAGCATTTTGCTCACCAATTTCCTTCAATTCAACACTATTCCTATCAAAATTCTCCGCCTCAGCACTCTCACTATCACTCTCACCATCATTAACAGCATTACCTTCCAAACCTTCATCACTTTCTCTCTCCAATTCCACTTCAATTCCGCCATTAACATCATCCAAATTTCGAGAAATCTCACTCGCATCACCGAATTTGAAACTGACACTACCATCAGAGAGCTCTGCACACGAAAATAAAATCACAAAATAAGAGTCAAAAATCACAAAAAATTCCTCAAAATTACTGAAATTAGGTTTTCAACACTACCAATTCTTGAAATTATCTCAAATTGCGAAGAATCGGAGCAAAGTTTGGTGACAACTGAGGAGTGAGAAAATCTGCGACGAAGAGGAGCGAAGCGAACGAAGGAGAAGTTAGAATGAGGAGAGAGAGTGAGAGTTGAGAAGAGAGAGAAAATGGAGGAATTGGAAGAGAAGTTGGTGTGAAGCATGTCCGCCATTGGAGGACTTGAGCAGAAGCTCGAGAGTGAGGATTAAAATTTGGTATTATCATGTCTTGCATTAATTATCGGTGGAGATGGATGGAGGGAGATATTCATTTGTGGGGGAAAAATTACGTGGTAGGATTTAATTGGTTTAGGTTATGGTGTTTTTTTATTTTTGTGATTTGGAATCTTGTAGAATTATCGTCACATTTTGGACTAAACTAGACTTTTGATGAGGTTCATTTAGGTTGAAACGAGTTCCTTTGGCTAGCGGGTTAGATTAATTTTGTTTCAATTGTTAGTGGTTCGATTTGTTTCGAGTTTTTGTGAGAAGTATGTTTTAATCTGGGTCGATTTGTAATTGGTTAGGTGAGCGGGTAAGGCTAGGAGCGAGTTTACCCAGATTAATGCGGGTTCAAGTTTATATCGATTCAAGTCATAATCAAATTAGGTTTTAAACGCGTTGGGTTAGTTGGGTAGTGATCGGGTCAAATTGGGTTGAGTTGAAGGTCTGGAAACAATTTTATTTTGTTGAAGGGTTAAATTGGGTGGGTTAAGAAATGTAGTGAGTCAGTTCGATGTTGATAATTTTTAATCGGGTTGTAAATTATTTGGGTCATATTCCATTATGGTTGAAACAATCATGTTGTAAATGGGTTTTGTCGAATTATGTAACTTGGAGTTTTGTGAACTATTTATCTTGGAATCTTTTATGTAATATTTTGAGTACAAAATTATCATTGGCAGATGCATGTATGTTTGAGTGGGGTCCCTTGACCCCACTTGAACATAAAAAAAAAAAAAAAAAATCCTATAAAATTAAATTTTTTTCCTATAAAAATTATTTATATTTTGATCAATTGACCCCATTAAAATTTATCAAATGTATTTTGACCCCATTAAATATTTTTCTTGGATCCGCCACTGATAATTATCAATATTTCAACCAAAGTGAGAGGTGTTCTTGCATCTTACTTATCTTGGAGTTTTGTGGAATTATTTATCTTGGAATCTTTGATGTTTATCTCTCTAGTGTTTATAAGATGTTCTAGTGAGCAAAATAGGTTAAGTCACTTATATGCTCCTTCCTTAGGCTATTTTCTATTCATTTAATATTACTAAACTTTCATTTTTATTTATTTATTTATTTAATTATTTAATTTTTTTTTTTTTTGTTGAATTCAAACTCAAATTGTTATTACTAAAATCAAATTATTCTTTTGTAAACTTAATTATCATTATTACTGAGCTTATATTTACTTATTAAAATTTATTAAAATTGATTCACTATAACATCGATTTGTTCTATGGAGTGGCTAAATTTTATTCATTAAAACATATTTACAAATTTTAACTTATTGCTAATGAACATTAGTTGTACTAAGTGTTGAAGCGTTTGATCTATGTTTTCTTACTACTCCAATCCCTCCTTTTTTTCATTAGTCTCATATAGAATTTTGAGATATAATGCAACTTAAATTTAATATTAATGATTTTTTTTTATTAAAAAGAAAAAAAAACACAAAAAGTCAAGTGAGATTTTGTTAGATTGGCCTTGATTATTTGTTCCTAATTAAAGATGTACTCCTTTTGTTTCTTTTTATTTTTATTTTTATAATATACAAAGAACTTTGTAACTAGTTACTATCTTGAGTGATGCCGCTCGAGTATGTAATACTCCCTCTTTTTTTCTTTCTTTCTTTGTTTCTTCTTCTTTTTTTTTCTTTTTTTTTTTATGTCAAAGTCGTGTTAAAAGTCAAGTGTTTTGTTAGAGTTCAAATTGTGTAAACTAAATAGGGATGGAGGGAGTATCATAATTATTTGTCTTGTAAAACCAATTTAATTAACATGATAAGTAATTACATATTTGCATGTTATTTCAAATATAATCTATAAAAATTTGGGAATTAAATAAATACCTTAAACATATTTAGAGTGTAAAGAATCACCTAATTTTCACTTTTTTGTATTATTTAACTAAGCTCTTCTTTTTTTCACTTTAATATAATAATATTCGATAAAAATAATTTAATTCGTAAAAATAATTAGTTCAATAAAAATACTTCCTCCGTGTTTTAATAAGTGTTACACTTATCAAATGCGGCCGTATTTTAATAAGTGTTACACTTCCTTTTTTGGCAAAAAGCTTCATTTTAATATTATATTCTTCTCCTTTCATGGTCACACTAAAACTGTAATATCCTGTATTTTTATACGTATATTAATTAAAAGCATTATTTTTTGTGAAGTATTTAAATAATTCGAAATGAATCATTTATGGTATTCTAATAATTTAAAAAGGTTTATTTTAATCAAAAGTCTATTTTTATTAATTTAATTGCTTTAGAACATTTTATTTAATTATTTAGAAACTTTGAGGCATAATTATTTTAAAAAAGAAAGTTTTAAAGTCAATGGAATTTTAAAGAAAGTCAAATGTCATTTGGAATAGGAGTAGGATTCATTAAGGGTAGAAAGGGAATTTAAAGTAGGCGGATTTGAGAGAGGGTATAAATACCCATCATATGAGCAAAATTGACTTTGCCCAAGCATTAAATCAATCAATAGGAAATCAATCAAGCATTGACAATCAACAATAATAAACTACCCCTTCATATTATTTATGGATCCCCATAACCCTAGAATTAAACTACTCACACATAATTAAATCTAAACTAATCAAAGCAATTAAGCAAGACATAATTAATCTAAGCAATAAAATTACTGAAAATAAAAGGGAAGAAATCGTTACCAAAATAAACGGAATGATGAATTGTATAAATCTCAAGAGTGTAGAGAGAGAAAGTAAGAGTATTATCAAAAGCTTAAACTAAATCCGAAAATTACGCTTAACTTCCTAAAACAAAACGTATTTATACTTAGGCTAAAACGATAAAACAAATTAAATCATTAAACTCTTCAGAAACACACGCTCGGTCGGGCGGAGCTTCGTCCGGCCGGTCCCGCCTATTTTTAGCCTTTAGTTTACACTCGCGCCCGGTCGGGCGCGCCACAGGGCGAAGAGTCTTTTTCTTCTATACATCTCGCCCGGCCGGGCGCACCTCCGGGCGAGGGCTTGCCTGGTCGGGCGAGCTCTCGGGCAAACATGGACCTTTACTTTTGGGCCATTTCTCTTGGCCCAATTTCGGGTTTTCCACCTTGGGTCTTGAATACTTAGTCCATTGCCTCGATCTCTTCTATGATGAGCCCTTAATCACCGATTTGATGACTCCAACCGGTCTTGGGCTATGAAATACGGTCATAATTCTCCAATGCTCGTAGTGGCTTATCATAAGTCCGGGAAAAAGCTCTAAATCTGCAATTTCCTATAAAATAGTACCAAAACTACGAATATTAGTATAAAAAAAGTGACTCCAAAGAGCCAATAATACTCCTAAAAATGACCAAGGGACGGGGGTAAAATCACTATATAAAAGAACATATCAAACTCCCCCAAGCCAAACCTTTGCTTGTCCCAAAGCAAAGAGCTAATCAATGAACAGATAAAACATACTTCACCCCAAAAATAGTTTAAACCAAGCATACCAATTCAAGGAAAATCCAACAAGTATGCATCAAAATCAACCAATCAAATTCATCCGACTACTCATCCTTCCTAACAATTGTCAAATAGAGCAAACCACAAGAGCATATGGAATTCAAGACTAGTGCTCACACACTCAACTCTCATTTATGTGGCGAGTAAAGGATGTACTCGGTCGCTCTCCATCCACCCCTTTATATGTGAACAATGCCCTCACAACTCACGCACTCGTATGTTTAAAAGACATACACTCAACCTAGTAGTCGACTCAAAATATATCAAATCATTCTTTGCATTGATAAACAACTAATTTCACATTCATACAACTCTATGCACTAAGGTCGGAAGGTCTTCAAAGCTTGTAATGTAAGGCTAGGGTAAAAAGTAGGAAATATTTGGGAAAATGTGAGAGTAAAGCCATGCTTAAGGGAGCCAAAATCCTAATAAATAAAACCAAGGTCAAAAATAAATAATGACCAAAACATCTCCAACACAACTCAACCCTACCAAAAATTCACCAAACATCCAATTCAATCATAACCAAATTTTCCAACACTTACAACTTCACTCATAAAATTATGATAATATAGAACTTGAGTGAATCAAACAAACTTTGAATTTTTTTCTTTTGAATTTGATTTTTTTTCTTTTTTTTTTCTTCCTTTTGATCAACCTTCACTTAGAACATTTGAACATTAAAACAATTTTTTCTTTTGCTCTTTTTTTCCTTTTATCTCACATTGGAATTTTTTCAACTTTAGCTTGAACAACAATTTCTCATTTTTTTTTTCCAATCCACAAAAATAAGAACAAATAAATAACTTCTCAAATCCCTAACTTTTTTTTCCCAATACTGTAAAGTAAATGGGATATAAATAAACTAAAGTGAATAATGTCAAACAAATGATCAAAGACTGCATCTAGATTAGGAGCCATTTCTGAATAAACTAAAATGATAAAGAGAAAGATAAATCGTGGAAGTATAGATTAAAAGAGAAAGAGATTGCAAGTGAATAACTGTGATGCTTTGAAGTGGTAAATTAGCTACGTATATATAGCATAAATCTGGCGCCAAAATGCAACGATTGTCCCACCAAAATGTGGCGCCAAAACGTGTAGACCAATTTCCCTCCAAACATGAACTGGTCAAATATTAGATTGCTATGAATTAAAATAGAATAAATCATACAGAATACATAAAATAAAATATTGTTTAGTATATTGTATATGCTACATTATAGTGTACTAAACAGTATTTTCTCTTATTTATTTTGTAGGATTTATTCCTTAGCTATCTGTTTATTTATGTTCGAGATCTACTTTTATATAAGCTTGTTTAATTTTTATTTAAATTTTTCGAGGAAAACTAAGTGAGACCTAAACTAACTAATTTAAGATTTTTTTTTTAAGTTATTTAATCTTTCGGTATTAACCAATAATATAATTAATAATTACACCCATAATGTTTATTTTATTTTATAGTTAGGTACTAACCTGTAGTATAATTAATAATTACAAACAATGTTACAGTACATAAAATATTCACATTTCTATTATTTTCTTCCTTGGTAATAGCCATTCATTTTCTTATACAATGCATAAGGGTAATACCCAAAACAAGTTTATACCAACACCCTTTTTCTTAATTGTTTGATGACATTCATTTTCCCTACATTTAAAATTTCAGTCTAACCAAAAGTCCAAAGACATGTATCAACACAGTTACAATGCGTAAATTAAGTAAATATCAAAAAGCTATTCCTTTGTATGATAGCAAATTTTATTTTGGGTGACAAATTATGTATTATGTACACATAATTATAGCAAAAATTCAAAAATACAATACAACTTTTGCCTTTAAGATTAGGATTAGTTGTTGATTGCTTATTTTTTAGGAAAACGATAGCAAATTGTAGTTATTTCCATACCTTTTTTTGTAAAAAAATATTGCATATGAATTTGATTGACTTGATTGATGTTTTAAAAAGAAAGTTAAAGAATTTAATTGATTTGCTTTTTGATTGATTTTTTTAACCAAAAAAAGAAATGAATTTGATTGAATTTTTTAAAAGAAAGGGAAATAATTCATATGAGTTTCATCATTATTAACCTAAGACGATAAGTGGTGATTGCTTAATTATAGGATAAATGATTACAATTGTAACTATAAGATATGTAAAGATCATTTTTTTTGAGAAAGGTAAATATCATAAAGTATTCACATGTAATTTGTTTACTTATAAATAATCTGTTACAATATTCAATTATAAAAATCTAATGTCCTTTTGTGATATAAATCTACTTAATTTATGTCAAAAAAAAAAATAGTTCAACTAAAAAATAATTCAAATACAAAA